TACACCCACAACAAAAAACACGCTGATCACCATAATCACCCTATCTCCTGAAAAGGACAAAAGCTGATCCCATGGCTATAAATACTCAACTATCCAACAAATTGCACTAGTGCACAGACAGAGTTCTTGCTCTTGACCTCTGAAGATGCCAGCCACAGAGACTGGTGAAACATTAGGAAGAAAAACCTTAAGAACACAGCTAAACAGCTTGGAAAACCCACAACAACTGAATGGTAAACCACTTCTGAGTGTTCTTTATTTTAAAAACTCTAGAAAGGGTCACCCTAAGTCAGAATTGACTTGGTGTCACATGATTGGTCAACTCCTGATGACAAGACGAAGCAAATTAGCAAAATCCAGAAATGAGAAAAGCTCACATTAGAAAAGGGTTTTTTTGTTGTTGTTGTTGTTGTTTGCCTCTGAAGGGAGCTCTGCTGTGGACCTGGAGTTCTTTCATTCTTAGTAAACAACTGCATAGTTGGAAAGAATCCTGAATTTCTCTGTGATGTGGGGGAAATGGCTGTAAAAAATTCTCCAACCCATAAATACCATAAGCACCAAACTTTTTTGACTTGGGAAATGCTGGGGTGTAGATCTAAGGTTTCAGGTTATGCAAGTGTGAGTTACATGAAAACTTGAATAATTTTTTTATATCATGGGATAGTTAATTTTTCCTATCTTTGCTGATGTGGACCTTGATCTCTTAGGTAGCAATCAGTTTTTGAGTTAAATTTTTGGTACAAATATTTTGTAACCATCTTATAAAATTAGCATTCATATCACTTATGTAAATACGTTTTTAGGGAAGACTTCAATCCTAAAAGTCTGAATAAATGTTAGCATTTCATTGCCCTTTCTTTTCAGTCTTACAGGTTGTTCCTTTTGTTCACTTTTTATTTGAAATAGCTTCATCTCTGTGTACAGAACATCCTTCACTTGCTTTTCAATCTGGTGCTTCTGTCAGTTGTACAGTATTCTCTTTGAAACATTTATTGTTCCTATTAATAAAAAGCTAGTGCATTACCAAGGGTCCTATGAAGACAGCAGCACTTTTTCTTTAAAAGAAGTAAGATTTTGAGTAGAAAATCAGTACTGAAGTTCCATGTAATTAAACAGCAGAAGGATGAATTAGAGAAAAACTAGTGGGGGAAAAGAGGGGAGAGAGAAGGAGACAGAAAGAAAGGCAGGGAGAGGAAAGTAGAGATTTTATTTGTGCCTGGTCTAGTTTTTACCTGATGTATGAAATGGGAAGAACGTGATCTATGGTTCTATAGGGCTGTGCTCCAAAGAAAGCTGGAAAGAGGGTGAAACTAACTAAGACTCCTGAACCTGTACCTCTTCTGAGTTAGGTAGCTCCTAAATAAGTATTATGGAAGAAAATAAGGCATCAGTGCACAGCAGTAAAGCCTGATCTTAATAAACATTTAAAGAAGGTACATACATTTCCCAAGTTTAGAGGGGTTAAGTACTGTTTTACTGTACAGTATTGTTTTACTGTACTGAGATCTTTATCCATCACCTTCTATTCGACGTCATCATACATCTCTGTTCCAGGACAATAGCAATAACCATCATATACATTTATATGATATACACTGTTCAGCCTTTATAGTTTGAACTAGTTTTCTGCAGATTTTGGAGGTAGTAAATGTAGTCTAATCTGTCACCACTTTGGTGGTTTGAGTTTTCCCATGTTGTATCTGGCTTGTATTAAAAGGAGAAAGGTTTCCTGATTTGGGGATAACTAAGTCACCTTGCGGCCTTGTTTGTTTGTTTGTTTGTTTACTTACTTACTTATTTACAAGATATTTTACACCATTACCAATGGTCTCTGTGTGGCCTTCTGATAGTTGTCTTCATGTTTGTTGTTTTTGGATGATAGGCATATACGAGGGGGGCCTGATAAGTATTGAGCCTTTCCCAGAAAAAAAATTGAGCTAGGACAAATTGCATCTGTATTCAATGGTGCAAAAATAACTACAATGATTTTAACTTCTCTTTCATATTCAGATCCAAAGTGAACATGGCAGCACCTCCAGAAAAGTTCAATGTGGAAGAGCACAGAACCATAATCAAGTTCCTGTTTCTCCAAGGGAAAGGTGCAAAGCAGATCCATGATGAAATGTCACAAACTATGGGTGACAGTGGCCCTTCATATGCAACAGTTACCGGTAAATGTTGGGTTGTCAGTTTTAAAACTGGCCATTTCGGTGTTGAAAGTGAGAAACCCAGTGGAAGTCCTGTTTCTGTCTCTGTGTCTGCAAATGTGAAAGCCATCCATGACATGATCACAGAGGACCGCCAAGTGTCAGCCAAAAGTATTGCTATATATCTGAGAATATCACGTGAGAGAGTTGGTGCCATTATCCACAATGACTTGGAAATGAGAAAGCTGGCAGCAAAGTTGATCCCCAAACTTTTGACAACTGGACAAAAGAAACGTGTGGAGTCATCGGTGGCTGTTTTGGAACATTTTGCAAGAAGTGAGTCAGATTTCCAGGGCAAACTGGTAAATGGTGATGAGACATGGATCTACCGTTATGATCCTGAGACAAAGGAACAGTCTAAGGAATGGAGGCACAGTGGTTCCCCCAGGCCGAAGAAGTTCCGAGTGCAAAGGTCGGTGCAGAAGCAAATGGCAACAGTTTTTTGGGATAAGAAGGTAATTCTGCTTGTGGTCTTCCTCCAACAGGATTCAACCATCAATGCAAAATATTACTGTGCTTTATTGACAAAGTTGAGGAAAAACGTTGAGGAAAGCTCTCCAAAGGTGTCATTGTGTTGCCTCGTCACACTCTACAGGTAAAATAATGGCAAAACTGATATCCTTAGGCTTTCAAGTGATGCCCCATCCACCCTATTCTCCTGACCTGGCTCCTTCTGACTATTATATGTTCCCCAAAATCAAAAAACACCTAAAGGGACAACAATTTGGGAGTGTTCTGGAGGCAACTAATGCTTCAAATGAGTAGTTACATCAACAGTCGGAAGTGTGCAGGAACCTAAGAAGCTGCAGGACAGATATCACAAGTGCATTGACTTCCTGGGGGAATATGTAGAATAGTGTGTCAGTTACAGCTTCCTAGCTAAAAAGTTTTCTGGGAAAGGCTCAATATTTATCAACACTCCCTCGTAGGTAAGCTGGTTGTATGAATGATGGAATAAATGCTGAGTAACAGGCAAGCACAGGACACCTAATAAGATTGTTATGGCTTTGGCAGATAGGAAGAAAATGCCTCAATAGAACCACATTTTCATTAGCTGTTTCCCCAAATCAGGGGCAGAAGGATAGAGTGCATGATTGATAAGTTTCTAGTAATAATAACTGTCTGCCGACAAGTTGATTCTGACATATAGTGACCCTTTCCGGAGGCAGAACACACAGCAAAGGTTAAGCAATTGTGATTCCTCATTATATATGTATGTAGATATTTACTGGTAGTCATGGTGAGTGACTGTATTCTGATTTTTTTTTAAAAAAAAGCTGTATGGTCCTTATGTAATACAAATTAAAGAGCAGGTGGTACCATATTTTTGGACTACAAAAAAAATATGAACAGCTAGCATTCAACATTAATACATCTTCCTCAAGCTGTGCACCATGATTTTGTGGATAGTGCTGGGAAAAAATGCATTAGAGATGGTTTTGATTGGCAGTGCTAAGTTGGTTGTTTGCTAAAACAGTCTGTCAAAACCTGTTGGGAAGGGAGATTGAATGTGCTCTGATTGGCTGGTACGCTGCCTGACTGTAGAGATGTGTGTGTGTGAGAGAGAGAGAGAGAGAAGGGGGGGGCTGCTCAGTTCAGTTTTAGTCAAGTTTAGTTAATTGTGTTGGAAGCAATCATTTTGATGAGAGATTTGTGTTGGGATGAAGTGAAGTCTGCAAGTGAGAGCTTTGAGGCAGTTTAGAGATCTGTGAGGGGGTGCCTGTTTTTTGTGAAGAAGCTGTGGAAATGTATTTTTCACAAGAACGTGTGTAAAACAAGGCATCTATACATACACAAGGAACTAAATTTGCTTAAGCTATAAGGAAGAGAAAAGTGAATGAGATTTTAGCTGTATTCTAAGAATTTAACAGCTTCCAATATTGATTCTTTCAGGGGTTTTGGTAAGATTTTTAAAATATAATGCCATTCTATTATTTTTGAAGACAACCCCTCACAAGATGTTTTACCGCGTAGCACTGGCTAACATTGGGACACAGTCAAAGTTATGTCACCAAAATATCAAGTGTAAGTGGTTTTACTCTTTCTAAATAGGACAGGATATATTTAGGGCTTTAGCTGTAGTAGTGTTTAAGCAGCAGTGAATACATAAATTGGTTGTTTGCCTGGTTTTCGGAAAATAAGAGGAATCTCTACTACAAGTTAAACAGCAACTCCAAACTTCATGAAGGGGTATGGAAGTGTTTGCCATTTTGGTAGTAGCACATACTGGTTAGAGAAAGGTAAGATGACTGCTTTGCTAGTCCTTTTTCTGATGGTCCTGTGGAACTGTGCAGCTTGCTCATCGTACACAGGCAGGCACTTCTCCCAGGAGACACAGAGGGGAATCAAATTCTTCAACTCTGGCTCTCCACTGAGCTGTTCAACCAGCTGAGTGTGTGTTTAGAGAGAAAGAAATAGGAATACAGATAGTTGAGTGTAGAGATAGGGATTGTATGGTGAGTAGTGATATGGGTAAAAGGAAAACAATTTGGATTATAGATGAGTAGGCATCCTTCAGTCTTAAGAGACTATGGTAATGTGCTCTGTATGGAGGTCTTGGAGCAGCGTCTAGTGTGGCTGAGAAGGCCAATTAGAGAGTGACAATCACTTCTACACTGAAGACAAATGCAATCTGTCCCCTGTCCAGCTCCCTGATTTTGCTGGTTTTGGGACTGCCTCTTTGCCTCAGCCTGCTGGACATGTGTCTCTTCAAAATGGGAAAGGCCACGAGGTATCGTCTGCCTCCAGGCTGAATGCTCAGATGTCAAGGTTTCCCATCTGTTGAGGTCCATTCCTAAGGCCTTCAGATCTCGCAATGTGGATCAATGAGCAAGAGCTGAATTTCCACTGAAGTGGAAAGAATTAGCTTTCTTTAGCATATTGGTTGGTCATGTTTGAACCAGTTATATCATTGACAATACTTAGAATTACGGTATGTTGAAATATTTCTTTAATAAAAAAGCAAGTTTCCAAATAGCAAATTATACAGAAAAGAAATAATTAATAACCCATACATCAAAGACTCTGTACTTGTAATTTAGCCTGTGACAATCATATAATGAAATTCCAGCAAAAAGCACAGTAGCTGAAATCCTGTTGCTCAGTGTAGTAAATCACAGTAGATAGGCCCATTGAATCAGTGGGGATATGGTGAGTCAACTTCCCCATAAGTTCCATTGATTCAAAGGGGCCTACTCCAGCTGTGACTTAGAACAAACTGAACTCACAGAGTACCTTCACCAAATCCCCACCAATTAAATGGGCCTACACTAGTGCAACATACTACACTAAGCTACAGGATTTCAGCCAATAGGTACATTGACAGGGGAATTAACATCTTTCAAGCAATTAAATTTGTGGTCTGAGTTTTAGAAAAGACAATATCCTCATAAAAGCAAACCATAAAAGATACCTAATCTCTGGATCCCACCCAATGAATAAGTAACACCAATGTTATGAGTTCATCCTCTTGAGGCCTTGTTTCATATGTATAGTTCTTGTATCTTGGTGGCCCAGTTAATGAAAGTATTAATGGAAAACATCTCTGTGCTGAGTTGTTTTTTTCTACCACTTTCCAAAAGGACTCTCTCCTTCGTTCAGAAAATGGAAAAATTGACCAGTATGCTAGGTTCAGTCCAACCTCTCAAGGCGTCTTCAGAGGTTTTTCCATTACATTTGAGAAAGGAGAGCAGAGCTTGTTGTCAGGTGCCACTTTGAAGCAACAGTCCTCGAACCTGCACTCAAACATTCCTTCCTCTCTCAGAAGAGTTGAGGGCCAGTCAAACTTAAGTCTTGACCAAGGCAGACCTCAAGTTAGCTTGACTCATTCTTCTCCTTTTTGCAGTGGGAAGTGTTGGTAGGAGGCCAGCTCCCTGCTGAAAGCATTTCAGGATGGAGCTTCATCACTCTCCACTCACCCATTAGGAAACACAAGAGCTGAGCAAAGCCAGCTCACTGTAAACCACAGATGCAGTTGTTCTGCTGAAGTGAGTGTTACTATGGACTGATTTGCAGTATATGTATGAGTACTCTGTATGTGAATGTTATCTGTGTCCAAGCAAGCACACTTTGGGGGTGCATGTCAGCAGCAATTTGCCTCATGTGTTTTGGTTGTCCTTGCTGGCATATGGCTACTCTTGATGTATTTGCTTGGAGCCAATGCATTTTTGGACCAGAAAACAACTTCCATCTGTGCTGTATGAATAGTACCAATTTTAAGTGACTTATAACAGCAACTATATATGGAAACTTGCAATGTGTCAATAAAATTGTTATAGTGAATTTATCCTCCCTTTGCCTTTTGAAAAGATCTTGATGGGTGGATTAGAAGAAATTCTAGAAGCCGGTGCCTTTTCAACTGGCTAGTCTTCCTGCACATTAAATGCATTACAAATACAGTATTAGCCATATCTTTACACCAACATCATCCCACACCTGTTATACATAATGTTCTGGGAAGGGAGGATTCATTGGTTACAGGGGCATGAAATACTATGTTCATCTTTCCTTTCTCCCTTTTTGAAATGCTTGCCACTAGGCCACAGCTTCTGAAGACCTTGAAGGTGGCCTCCAAGTTGGTGGCATTTGTGGACTGTGCCTCTCTTCACCTTCCTCCTGAATCTCTTCCTCAGATGGTCCTCGGATCTCTACGGGTTCATGGTGGGGTTGGAAGCCATCGTTTGTCTCACTAAACATTTGAAATAGAAAGAGATAGAGTTTACAGTGGGTTTTATTTTAAATAATTGTAGGCAGTGATTCAGCAACGCAGAATTGGAACTGCCAAACACCATTTCACTTTTCTTGTAGATAGAAACAAATCCTTCCCTGGGAAGTGTCGATGTTAGAGGATGGCAAGAGGCATTTACAATAGCAAGGCCACTACTTCTTCTCTAATAACTGTGCCAATAGTTCTCAATTATCAGACTACAACACATTTTCTACTCCTGCACAACACTTTTTTAACTAAAAACTAGGTATGCTATTTTAAAAAAAATTAACTGGCATATAAATGCATTTCATTTATAAAACCAGTTTCTTCACTTCATCACCTGCTCTGTTCACCATGCTTTGTAGATTTTGTTTGTCCTTATTTAAAATTGGATTTGTGCATATTGTCTGTATGTGTTTCAGAGTTCACTAGTTCTTAATCCACTATGCTTTCTGTGAAATTTTCAGAGCAGTCATCACATAGATTTGCTGAAGCGATTAAAAAGTCTTGTGGCACTTTAAAGGTTAATATATTTGCTGTGCCATAAAGCATTTGGGAATTACAGCCCACTTTATAATGACATGGGATGTCGTCTGTGAAATCTTATGCCATATGACCAATGTTTTCCTTTTGAGATATTGTAAAACTCTTTGTTTACAGCTTTTGTTTCTCTGTTTGAAAGATGTGCCTTCAGCATAAATTCCAATCAGATTTATCAGAAAAATATCTGAAAGAGGGTGGGTGGAGCTGATAGGATTGCTTTCTTCTAATAGATTATTTTTAATAATTTTGGCCATCAGTGTAGCCTGATGGCCCCCTCAACCTTTGGTCCCCAGATGTTCTTGGACTACAACTCCCCAAAATCTTGGCCAGCACAGCTAGTGGTGAAGGCTTCTGAGAGTTTTAGTCCAAGAACATCTGTGGACTCAAGGTTGGAAACCGCTGGTATCACCCTTCTGTCTGCAAATTTGGACAGCACATATAATGGAAACAGGCAGCTTATACATTCCATTTGGGCTCAGATTTGTGCAATCTAAATATCTTGGAATGGATTCCAGGTTCCATGTACGTGGGTCTGAAGTCATATCAATGCTACTACTCGTATATTACATTCTTTCTATGTATGTATATATACAAACACAATGAAAGTAGTGTCTTCATCATCTCATAATTAATTATGAGTGAGTGGCTTAAATGTCATTGAGTTTATCAGACAGAAATTACTAGCTGACAGAAACACTGTACTTATAAGCCAGAGATGGGCAACGTAGTAGTCAGTTTGCCCACATGTGGGGCCCAGCATCCCAGTTCAAATTATGATTTCTTCAACTGAATTTTAAAAACCAAATTTAATCAGATGTTCACTGCTATTTTAAATCTACTACACTAAGTTTATGTTTGTGGTATTTACTTCATGGCAAATTGTGCTCTCCTGGAAGCTTCTCAATTCTGCACATAATGTTCCCTTAGTGGGAGGGCAGGATACCATGGGACTCCCATATGGCCCATCTTATTAATGTATGTCCCAGATCTCTTTATGCATTCCATGACAACAGTTAGAATAAGGCAAATACTACTGGATATTTCAGTGGTAGAATTAAGGTGATCTAAGAGTAGCCTAATGCATTTTCTGAATTATTTTTCAATTATTTATTTGCTCTCCTGCTTAAGATTGTAGTTTTTCCTAACAGAAAAAACTGTCTAGACTCTAAGCATGAGAACATTTACAGTATATGGCATATCATCAAGGGCAGTGATGTAAAGGTAGGACTTTTTGTTGACAATGGAGTAGGAATTAATTACTTTATGAAACAACCATAATACCATTTGGATTTAATATTGACATTTTTAAATGTGTGAGTCTTCTTACCATTATATATGTTTTTTCTGTTACATATAGTCTTGCATGAAGAACTCCCCCTAGCGGCATAGCAGAAGGTTATGGGAGCAAAATAAAGAAAGCTGTCTGGCCTGCTATCCAAAAGGACTGCTTAGACTAGATTGATTTTACTGAATTAGGTTAACACAAAAGAATGTGGGAGGAACTATGTTGAACTGTTCCCTCAAGAACAGACATTCTTTCTGCTGCTCTTTTCTCACCCGACCTTCAAGTGAAATGCACTTACGTTGGCTCGTACTCCTTGTCCTTGGAACTCCTGCAGCAGCAACAGTAAGCTAGAACTGCAATAATAATGATGGCAGCAACAACTCCACCAATGATTCCAGCATAGAGAGCAATATTCATGGATTCTGAGGAGGGAAAACAGCACTTTGTCACCTCAGTATTGAGAAACCAACTCACTTTCTCTGTGCAGGAAGACATTAGACCAAATTGTCTCTCTATTTCTATTCTCAGTCTATCCTGCGAGTGAAATAAAGAAACAAATTGTCTGGCTTATATTTGAGTCAATCATCAACCAAAAAAGGCAATTATTTGGACAACTACTCCCAGAATCCAACATGTTCTGGTGCTGTGGTCCAAAAAAAACCAAAAACACCTTTCCAAATTCTACAGGTGGAATTACTTAAATATTTTTCAGAATATTCAGACATTTTGTAATTGTACATTATTGATTTCAACTGCACTTCATTTCCCTGTTTGATGGCAGGATATAAAACCTCTGTTCACCCTACTCTGATAAAATTAATTTTGAGTATTAAATGTTATAGCACAAAAATGTCTAATTAATTTTACCACTGCTGCCCAGTTATCCAATTAATGTTACAAACAGAGCTTGAATGAGTTACTTTCTAGACCAACTATTCTCAAACTTTTTTTTTTGCCATAAACACAGTATGAAAGAAACAGGACAAATCAGGATTGTGTAAGTCACAAAATGTGTGGAGAATTGTTTCCAGTCTTTGCCCCCCTTTAGATGTGCCAGGGTCCTCCAGGGGTACATATGCCCCCGTCCATTGAGAATGGTTTTTCTAGACTAAATAACCCAGAATCTCACAACAATCATGGGATTTGGGGGGTTATATTCCATAACATAAGTTTTCCAAGCTCTGGTTAAAATGCAGAAGTATAAAATAAAGTAACCCTTCCCTACAAATGATGATAAAAATGGCACTAATGGAAAAGGCAGCTTTATTAAAAGTTGTTTTAAAATATAAATTATGTGTTGCCAAATCGATTAAGTATGAAAATGCTTCCTTACTTAAGTGTTATTATAAAAGTATTTGGTTAATTTGAAATATAAGGAGAGCCACATATAAGAGATCTATTTAAAATGTATTACTAAACATACAGTAACCAGAAAGTTAATAATGAAAGTTTGCAGAAGCATAAAGGTGATAGTAACATTACTGCACATTTAAAAACCAAGAACAGAAAAGTAGTACTAAGGTATTAGCACCAATAACAATTTTATTCTTCCCCCAAACACCAGATTAAAAGAAAATAATTCATGGTTTTTTAAAAAAGGTAGACAATTTGATTGTGACATCGTCTAGAAACCCCACAAATAATGGGTAAATACAGTGTGACAGGCCTATATGAAGTGCTTGAAGTACTCTGACAGAAAGGTACACATAGGGAAAAGTCTGTTTCTGAATCGGGTTTAGCATATTTCAAATCAATTTTTAAAATTCTAACTACATGATGCACAGGGAAATGTGGACTTTTTTGGCCGGGAATCATGTTTTGTGGTCAGAAAGTGAGATATTTTACTTAGCTATGAGAGGGTAATTTATTTTAAATCACTTGGGAAATCAATTTACTGTATTCTGAATCATTTTGGCCTATGTGAAACCCTCTCTTGGTGTAAACTGTCTGTGGTGCTTGTCAAGCAATGGGTACCAGGATCACAGATTTTGGGCTGCAGGCAAACCTTGCAATCCAATCTGAAAAGAAAGCCAGCAGAGAGAGAAGGGCTGGGTGGAGGAAAGTACTCTCTCTTTCTCAAGGCTAGAAGCTGCCAATCTTGTCAATTTCTCTGGTCAGTTTCTCTTTGCTACTCACTTCCCTCTCACCAGCCCCCTCCCCCCACACTACAGGTTGTGTCATCCCCTCTCTTTCTCTACCACCTGTGTCTGTCTGTCTGTCTGTCTGTCTGTCTGTCTGTCTGTCTGTATGTATGTATGTATGTATGTATGTATGTATGTATGTATCTTTGCATGTGCATGTGTTGGGCTGCAGGGAAAGTTTGCAGTCTAATCTGTTTTAATTTTATATATACAGTATATACTGTATCTGTCATACTAAACTAGTTCTATTGCAAGAAATATTTTTTTATTGAAAATAACACCACAGCTTCAACAGCTAATAGCTGTGAGAGAGAGCTAGCATGAGAGCAGGCAGGTGCAGGAAAAAAGCCTCAAATGAAACGATTTTAAAAGCTGCTGTAGTCTCATTGACTGATATACAACACAATTTTTAAAAAAAGATCAAAAGTTTTCCAAGAGGATGCATTCATTGACTCAAAATCCACACAACTATCATGTGACTTTAAGCTTTCAAAAACTCCAATCCCTCTCCTGATTCATTTTCATGTAACCATGCCCCAGTCAGCTCAAGCTCTTACGGGGTACCACAGCAAGACTGATGTTGCAATTATCATGCCCAACCGAGTTTTGAGAAAGGCAGATGTAGTAGCCAGTGGTGTCTGCAGAGATGTTCTTCAACATAAGCAGTCCTCCTGATGCAAAACAAGAAACAGAAATAGGTCACAATGATGACATGGTGCGTGCAAACAGATCAGCGTCTTCATCTGTCTTGCTATTTTAACACCAGACTATGTGAGCAGCCTGACAAGTTGATTATAATTTTGACGTTATTCCCGGGGACTATATTTTTTCATCCATTGCCTTTGCAAATGCAGCTATGTGTAATCTTTAGGAAGTATTGGAGTTATCAGAATGCCAGAAAGATTTCCCCAATGTAACAATGAAATATATTCTGTAATTAGAATCTGTTACCCTGTTTGCCGGCGTATAAGACGACTGGGCATATAAGACGACCCCCCCAACATTTCCACTCAAAATATAGAATTTGTTATATACTCACCATATACGACTACCCCCTCTTCCGCATACCTTCCACACACCAAATAAAAGGTGCTATTCATTGTCACTATTGTACGGACGCAGCGCGACCACAGCGCCTCCAGCCTGCCCCTGCATCTCCCTGTGACCGGCACTAGTGCGCACGTGCACATGTGTGAGCTCTGCGTAGACAAGAGGCAGGCCGGAGCACTGCTGCTTCCCACTGACCAGAACAGGCCGGTCACGTCGAAAAGGCTGGCACCCCTGTCTTGCTGCTGATGCTCACTGCGGCCACGCTGGATACTGCGCGATACTGGATGGTATGTAGAATGAGGTGGGCAGTCATCTGGAGGCCACTATGGGCACTGGGTGAGCATCGGAAGGCTACTATGTGCAGCTATGTCTATCCCAACTGAAGTGCACCCGGCATATAAGACGAACCCCCCCGCACACACTTGGAGACATGTTTTTCAGGGCAAAAAAGTAGTCTTATACGTCAGCAAATACAGTACTTTCATAAGATAGTAGAGGCAGGGAAACTCTTGCTTGCACCCAGACACACTAAATGTATATTGAGCAGGAAATGTGTGAGTATCTTGGGTAAATTCATGTTTTACAGCACTTAGCATTTACCCTGTTTGTTCACATCTTCCATTCACGTGAACAATTACCAATATTTATGCACATTCTTTATATTTATGCCCTTTAAGCCCAAAGCAAAGATCTGCTTTCCCCAACATGGTGCTAGACTACAACACTTAAAAGCTTCTGGGGTAGCAGTGCAACACGTTTTCAAGGTGCTAGGCTGGGGAAGACCTGGTATGGTACAGTTGGTAGAGTACAGTGGGGTCTTGACTTGAGAACTTAATCCGTATTGGAAGGCAGTTCTCAAGTCAAAAAGTTCTCAAGTCAAATCTGCATTTCCCATAGGAATGCATTGAAAACCATTTGATCCGTATCTGCTCTTTTCCGTCCATAGAAACTAATGGGAAGCTGCTATTCCGCCTTCTGCCACTAGAGGGGGATATTTTGTTTCTTTTTTTCTTAGATCAAGAAAGGTTCAGGGAAGGCAGGGAAAATACAGTCCAGGCAAGACACTACCAGGCAGCCTGAAGACTGTCTCCCAATCCACTCTCTAAACGCTGGGAGGAGTGAGGAAGCAGACAGGCACCCTTTTCACTGGCCAACAGTTAACTGAAAGTTCACTTTTTGCACTTTCCCTGCCTCCTACGTGGGTTTTTTTCAGTTCTTAACTCAAATCTAAGTACTTAAGTCAAGTCAATATTTTCCTATGAGAGCGGTTCATAAGTCAAAATGTTCTTAACTCGAGCCGTTCTTAAGTCAAGACCCCACTGTAACAGGTTGGGACTCAGGAGTCCTGGCTTTGAATCCCTACTCAGCCATGGGAACTCATTGAGGGTGCATGTTCACTGGTAATACCCCTCCTTAAATATCTCACATTGAAAGTCCTGTTAGAGTGACTATAAGCCAGATGTGACTTAACAGCACAGATTGCGGTACACACACAGGCTGAGGAAGACTGTTGCAGAGAGATGTGTACACAGTCACATATACACACACCAGGCTTCTTTATCTCCTGATCTCCATTGCAGATGCCAGTAATTGCTGTAACCCAATCACTCTTTACCATTTAATTTTTCCTTTGATTTGTCTTTAGTCTATATGAAATTCTATATAAAAAACAAGAATCCTTTACAAACCTTTGTTGCTGAATTAAAATGAAAGAAAAAAAAGGCTAAACTACATAATCAATCCTTCTCATCAGGAAGAGACAAATACTTAAGCACTTGGCAGCACCACGGAGGAACTCTATTTCCTGGTGCAGTGCTGCCACCTATAGGTCAAGCTGGAGAACAACAAACTGATGCCGTTCATTTTTGCTTTTGCAGCCGTCTTGAACAATTATCAGTTTATTGAGAGGATCAGAAGGAAGGTGCTCCAGCCAACTATGGAAACATGTTTGTACTACAAGATTCTTTAGTGGATATAAAGAATCCACTCATACACCTCCTTCCTTCATTCTGGGCTGCTTCCTATGCATGTGCAATTCACACATACCAAAAAGAAAAAAAGACCCTAGCAGAATTCTGTCCAATCAAGCAAGAAGGGGTAACAAAACTTCCAATATGAGGGCTAACTGAAAAGAACCAGAACAAAAAGATCAGAGCGAAGTTTGCAGTTAGTGGGGAAATGCATGCTGTATTGTCATCACCACTGTTTGCATAACGTAACTTGAAAAAGTTGATTTTTGATTATAGTTCCCAGAATTCAGCAGGACCAGTAGCTAGTGGCTATGCTGACTGCAGAATCTTGGGAACTGTAATTTTAAAAAATTGTAATTTTTTTAGTGCAACTTTTCTGCAAGTCTCCTCAACACACACAAAAGAAGCACAGGAGCAATGTCATAATTTGACATTTTGTGCGCAAAAAAGGCAGCATGTGTCACAATATGTTGTGTTAACTCTTCTGAAAGAGCAGGGGTTCTTAATCTTTTCTTTACCATTGACCCCCTTTAAGTATCTTTTGTTGCTGCAGACCGCCAAGACTTCAGTCAAGATTTAAAATTATATCAAATATATATTTAAAGTTTCTCATTAAGGGTCTTCACATTTGGAGAAAAGGGAAAAATAAGTGAATCAGTTAATGCACAAACTCCTGTTATAATATTTTTATTGGACTGATTCAATACAAATTCTAACAGTGTGCAGAGATATCAAACAGTATTTTTATTGGAATGATTCAATACAAATTCTAACCATGTGCAGAGATATCAAACAATTATTGCTATCAAACAGTTATTTTTATAACTGATTTTTTCTGTTGTCTATTTTTAATGGAAGTGGTAGGTTAGAAAGGCCAGGTTTTACACAAACAAGCAAGGGAAATTAAGATTTTGTTTGATGTTTACTTTTCTTTCTTTCTTTCTTTCTTTCTTTCTTTCTTTCTTTCTTTCTTTCTTTCTTTCTTTCTTTCTTTCTTTCTTTCTTTCTTTAACTGTGAAATATCATAACATTTCTTCTAGCCTTTGCAGACCCCCTGTGAGAATATTGCATCCCCCCCCCAGGGGTCTGTGGACCACAGGTTAAGAACCCATGCAATAGAGAGATCCCAGCACAGGGCGATTTAGTCTGTTTCCTTCCAACAAACCAAGCCAGCTCTTGAAAATAAAAATCTTGAGATACCTCTTCATATCTTACCTCAAGGGGAATGGTGTACGTGCCCCAGCAGCACAGAACAAAGATCTTGAATATGCACATTAGTGGTTTGGGAGGCAAGAGAATGATTGGCTCTCCATAAATAACCAAGATTGTACAAACAGACTAAGTGGTTAAATGCCCTTTGTGCTAAGCTACCACAGATGTGGACATCTGCGCTCATCATACCATCCTCGGTTTGAAGGTAATGACTTTTATTCTACAGTGGACCCTTGTATAAGAACTTGACAATGGTCTGGATGGCACACTCTTGTATGCAAAACATACTTAAATGGCTGTGAAAGAAATTACAGGTCCACATCCCTTTAGAAAGAAAAAAAGGGGGAACATTCTGGTTGAAGAGCACTGGAGGATCACTTCTGTCCTGCACTCGTGATTAAGGCAAAATCCAAAACTGCGCATTTGTAGCCACAATCAAAAGAATTTAATACATAAGAATTGCCATAGAGGAAAGGATGGGTACAGAGGTTGCAGTAGAGAAGAATATGAGGAAACAGCGAAGGAAGTCAAGAATATACTGTACTGCAGATGAATGAGATGTGCCCAAGTGTGATGCCACGTGGAAGATTGCTCCCACTACTGGAATGAATTTATTGCTTATAAAGCTTTAATGGCTTATGTCAGTGGGACCTGTGACCTGTAATTTGGGAAACTCTAGACCAGGGGTGAGGAGGAAACAGTCACTCTCCAGATAGTCAGCTTCTATCAGCACCAGCCAACATAGCCAGTGGTCAAAGGTGAGTAAGGTAGGTCTCAACAACACCTAGAGAGCCACAGGTATCCCATTCTGTAGAAGCCTTTTTAAAAAAGACAATTGGAAATTGAGGTCATCATGGGCACAGTCTTCAGCAATATTTAAATACACTTGAAATATGGAAATAACCTGCATGTTTCCCCTAAGTACAGTCATCTAATTTAATTTTCCATACCTTCCATTGGTGTTCCCACAAGTTGCTGTGGCTGATTTTGGGCATCATATCTTTGCCAAGTATATGTAGGTTTGGGGGATCCTTCATCAGAATGGCAAGTCAGGTTAATGTTTTGTCCATATTCTGCTTTCCCTATAATTTTGCATGTAGGCTTTGATGGAATCACTAAACGAGGAGAGAAAGAATAAGTCAAGCAGATTTAATATCACAAACATGGAATCTTTGGAGCTCCTTTCCTTCCATCATTAGTAGGAATGCATTTTGCTTTTTGTAAATTGAATAATCTGTGATATGTTTCTGCTGAAATCTGCAATGTGTATTTACCTTTTTTTTTAATATGGCCAGAGACCATAACTCATTGGCTACCTTACATTAGCCTAGAAGATCCTAGATTCATTTGCCCATTCAGATGCATCTCCATGTAAAGGGTAAAGAGCTGGTGATGGGAGAAGCTTCTGCTTGAGACCCAAAGCACCTTGTGAACTAGGAGGGGTAGGTTCACCCCAAATTACAGAGAATCTCCCCTGGCTCCTGGCAAGATATCCCTGTGTTTGACACCATGAAGAGAGGGTGCTAGTTAGAGCAGACAATACTGAGCTAGTATGACTGAATATTGTTTGTTTATTTATTTCAAATATTTTTACCCCTCCCTTCTCCTTAAAAAAAAGGACTCAAGGCAGCTTATATAATTAAAAACATAATATTAAAGTTTAAAAACAAATAATTATTCAAACATTAAAGAAGAATTAGTGACATACTATATTTAAAATGTTAGGTAAAAGCATTGTCTCCTAGACAATCAGTCACTAAGGGAAAGCTTGCCTGAAGAGAAAGACCTTAGTATGTTTGCAGAAGGATGTCAAGGATGGAACCAGCCTGGCATCCTGTGGGAAGGAGTTCCAAAGTCTGGGAGCAGCAACAGAAAGGGCCCTCTCCCACGTTCCCACCAAACACACCTGTGAAGATGGCAGGACTAAGAAAAAGGCCGGCTGATCTTCAGACCTGGGTAAGCTCATAGAGGGAAGCAATTTGGACCCAAGACATTTAGGGCTCTATAGATTAAAACCAGTACTTTGAATTGTGCCCAGAAATAGATTGGCAGCTGCTGGAGCTGCTGTAACATGAATTTTGAGATCCATGTAACCAGCCCCAGTTACCAATTTTGCCATAATTTTTATGAGGCAGTTTCCTATCTTCTCACTTTGCCATATCTCGGTTCAAAGGAAAATGGGCTAAAATATCTAATTATGGTACAAGTGTTATTCAGAAGTTGTTAATAGAATGATTGGGCATTGGTGTCTCAATAGTGTTGCAATAGAGCAACAGACTAGTAAGAAACAGTATTTTCATGGTCTTTGAAAGTATTATTCCTGCTTGTTGTAATTTACCACTAAACTACGCATCTGGAACTGATACAAGGGGCAAAATGTATCTTACCAAGGACCAAAAGATCAATCAGTACACTTCTTGGAGGAGGATCCTCGAAAAGCTGGACTGTACATTCATAGGTTCCGTTGTCAGCCATGGTCAACTCACTGAAGGTGATGCTGCCATTGCCCTGATTAAGATCTCCGGAGAAGGTCATACGATCGCCATAATTTCCTTTGTATTCCAAGTCACTACCAATAACCTTGTAAGCAAAATCTTCCTAGATTAGAGAGAAGGGTACCCATTTAAAATATGTAATTACTCTGGCACAAATCTTTGTCTGGCTACTGTGAGCATTAAATACACTAATAAGGAGAAAGGAATGAACCTCTGTCTTCTGAATAGAGATTCACCTCACTATTAAATCTGTAAAAGTTCAAAATAGTTGAATAGACCCTGGGGTTCCCTTCCAGTCCCATCACAATCCTTGGTGACTGTTTCCACCCTTTATTAGTACTCTACATAGACCCTCTTGGGTTTTTTTCCCACAGAGGCTTTCAAGAGTGGCTCAAAAGGATAAGAATAATTATTTGTTGTTAAGTCAATTCAGACGATAGCAACAGTTTTTAGGGTTTTCTTAGCAGAGAGCGCTCAGATGCTGTTCCCCATTCCTTTCTTCTGGAGGCATCTTGAAACTACCACGCAGCTTGTCTGAGGCCACGCAGCTTGTCTGAGGCCACTGGCTCTTTTCCAGGGAGGCACAGTGGGGAATTGAACTCCCAACCTACCAAAAACGCTGAGCTTTCCAGCCAGCCCAAAATGATCAAGGCCAATAAAAATGTTCATCTTACCTGGCATTGTGGTTTATAGAGGCGTTCTATGAATGTACAACAGGGATTCAGAAAGAGAGAGGAGAGAATATCTGAAAAATCTGGCATCCACCACGTCGTTTGGTTTCATTTGGGGAAAACAAAAATGGCTGTGCCTCCTCCTATCCACTGATACCAAAACAGGGAATAAGAGTAGAATATTCGAGGAGCACACTCTAAACTTTTGTGGAGATTATTCTTTCATAAACTCATTTTACTTCACGAGTGTAATGTTAAACGTGCTCATAGGAATTAAACCTCATGTGTCAGATGTTTTGTTTTTTTTTAAAAAAAGGAAGAACATTCTAATTGAATTCTATTTTACTGACTATTAAGTTTGGCACTGAAGTTTGTGTTTCATGTACAATCTTGTATTTTCTCACTGCAGTTAAGAATTCCAATTCTTCCTCCACCTATTTAAAACTATTTATTTTATTTATTTTATTTTATTAGATTTATACTCCGCCCATCTAGACAGATAGTCTACTCTGGGCAGCATAACAAAGTTTAAAAACAATAAAACCAATAACACATGAAAATCCAAGATGTAAAAATATAGATATTAAAATAGAGCAGGAGGGAAAGCCTGCCTAAATAGCCATGTCTTTAGTTTACTTCTAAAGACACCCAGAGAGGGAGCCAGGCAGATCTCTACGGGCAAGTTGTTCCAGAGGCGAGGGACCACTGCCGAGAAGGCCAGGTTCCTTGTTCTTTCCTTCCGAGCCTCCCTCAGAGTTAGGCCCCTCAATTGCCCGGCCTGGCTAGAATATATCATTTCAGTTTCTCTTTATCATGTCTTATTAGAACCAGCTTGGAACTTCTTTTGTTAATGCTCCAGTTCACTACATTGACTGGGACAAAAAAAGAGCCCCAATGGCACAAAACAATTTGTTGAGGCTGCTATTGTTATTGTTTTTTTTAAAAAAACTATTCATGGAAACTGACTGAAATTTGGAGGGTTCTTTGTTATGTTCCATTGCCAATGCCATCAAATGCCTATACTGTATTGTAAGTCTCCCTTTTTATACTGTAGATATTGCCACAAAACATGACTTTAAAGGACTAAAATGTTCTGTCCTATTTCATGAAGAGTCAGTATACTGTGGTATTTAATGCAACACTACTTTCACACCTGAAATATTGAGGAAATTTGCTTTTCTGGAACCTTTTAAGGTCCTGACTATTATTATATGCACATAGATGGATCCTTACTTTCTTCCTCTTAAGCAACATACAAATACAATTCATATACTGTGCTGTTTAAATATCTACAGTAAGACAGTAAGGATAGTAGGTATTTTTCCTCCTGCAGGTGAAAGAAAAGGTAGGAGCTCAAAGCTCATTCTGCTAGAGTTTAGAAAGTTACTTTTAGAAAGTAGTTTATTCTCGTTACTATAGTTGTCAAATCAGCAGCATCCTATTGACATTTTCCACTCAGCCTCTGAGACAAAGGTGCATGTCCTTACGATGTCAGAGGGGAGGAACAAGCAAGAGTTGAGAGAGTGACTGGAATAACTTTTGGACCAGCTGATTGTGTAAACTGGCATGAGAAGAAATTGGCTACCAAAGAAATAGGCTAACACCTTCACAATACGCTGGGAAGAACTCAACATGAGTACTCAGGGTTGAAAATCATCTCTCATACAAAAACCAACCATTCTCCTCCTCCAGCACTTCTCAACCTCCGATTCGTTTCTTTGCTTGGTGACCCAGAGCAGCATATTTAGTTCCAAAGAATTCAGTCAGGATCTGGGATGTGGCAACCTTACTAGTTAACAATGCTATGTAATCTATTGTGGCCACAGTGTTGGAAATGTAATTTGTTCTGTTGCTTGTTGCCCTGCTTGCTAGTTTTCTACCACTTTGCTTTTTTATTTTAAAATTTTGAATAGATAAGAAAGTGGCATAAACCTTGAGGAAGTCCCTTGAAATGCACCTTTGAAAGTGAGTTATGAGAGTAATGACACCACTAAAATAACTCCACCCCTAGTTATTACAGTATTTCTAAATAGAAACTTCACTACGTCCTCATTACTACAAAAAATAAACTAGGTAGAGTAACTTTTTTCCTTGTGACTTATGCCAAACCCTGAATATTACACACTTATTGACTGAGTCATTCTGCCAGACTGCCCAATTTTTAACTTCCTTCCTTTCCACTCTCTTCCCATTTCCACCCCTTTAAACTTCTTTCTGCCCCTTTCCTTTTCCACCTCTTCCAAACCTCTTTTCTCAAATTCCTTTTTGACTCCTTCTAAACTCCTTTCTGCCCTCTTTCTTTCCCTCCACTTTCTAACCTCCTTTCCATCCCATTCCCATTTCCACATCTTCAAAACTCCTTTCCACCCCTTCTAAACTCCTTTCCTCTGGGTAGATGGGGCTCGTTAGCCTTGGAAGGCACCCCACCTAGGAGAAGGAAAACTCGTTAACAGTGCTGCTTTGTGGCTATATCCATCAACAGAAAAGGCTTCAGGAGTAAACCTCGAGGCAAAATCTGGAGCTAGAGTCCCAGAGGTAGTTCACGACTGTGTACAGTCATGCTCTGGCAACTCCTGTGATGTTGCTGGAACCAGTTGTATTGGCTCTTGCCTTTCCATTGGACTATTTCAGTGATGTGGAGAGGGAGGACTTTTTGCTTGGGTATCAGTCTATCCTCCATATTATTTTACCCAGACCTTGTGCTCTGGAGAGGACACTCCAGCTTCACATACAGCATCAAAATAACACGGGAAGTAGCAGTTACCAGTTATAAGTCTTTGCTCGATTGGTGTAGAGCATGATGCCATTGGATCCTTCCAATGCTGGGACAGCTCATTGCACCTCACTAGGTAGCTACCGCCTTAAGCTGGGCAGCCCCAGCCAATAAGGTGCTGCCTCACCACGGTCTGTTAACCTCACAGAGTGCGTGGGGTTTAAGGTGAAAGACAACAAGCAGATCAATAACCCTACACCATGCAATAATTATAAGAAAACTTCTGCCCTAAATCTGAGCACCTAGAATGTTCGGACAACGACCCCTGGCTTTACTGATGAGCTGCAGGAAATCGATGATATGAGCAAGACAGCTGTCATCGACATGGAATTGAGTAGGCTGCAGATGGACATTGTTGCTGGCAGGGAAAACCATTGAATGAGACCAAGGAATATAGTGTTGGCTTTGCAGTTAGAAATACTCTGCTGAGATCCATTGTTCCACCTACTGCGGGGAGTGAAAGAATCCTGTCTAATTAGCTCCATTCATCAGCAGGACAGGTCACCCTTATTAGTGCATATGCACCAACACTGTCATCTACAACAGAAGTCAAAGACAAATTCTATGGTGATCTGGCAGCTACTATCAAGAGAATCCCCAAGAAAGTGCTGCTGTTCATTCTAAAAGATGTTAACACTAGAGTTGGTGCTGATCACAATTCTTGGCTCACTTGTCTAGGTTGGTTTGGCATTGAGAAGATGAATGAAAATGGCCAGTGCTTGCTGGAGTTTTGCTGTTATTATGGTCTTTGTGCTTGCAACACCTTCTTTAATACGAAGATTCGACACAGAGTCTCTTGGAGTCATCCAAGATCGAAGCATTGGCATCAGCTCGATTTAATCCTCACTAGATGTTCTAGCCTTCCTCACATTACCATCACACACAGCTATCAGGGTGCTGATTGCGATACTGATCACTCCCTAGTGTGTAGCAGAGTAAAACTGTGAATAAAGAGATTGTATCATACGAAGAAGGAAGACCAAGCATTGACATCAGCAAGATTCGCAATCAGAGAAAAGTGGAGGAATTTGCTCAAATGCTTGAGGAAACTCTTCAAGACCTGGCTGAGGCGAGTAACTTTTTTCCTTGTGACTTATGCCAAACCCTGAATATTACACACTTATTGACTGAGTCATTCTGCCAGACTGCCCAATTTGGAGGAATCCCATTTGGAGGAGTTGATGCCCGCCATCAAGGAAAAGAGGAGAGCTCTAGCAGCATCCAGGACCGAGCCTGTACTAGTAAGTACAACTTGCAGGTTCTTTGAGTAGCAAAGTCCAACAGACTGCCAGGAGATGTTCTAACGATTATTGGCTTCAGCTCTGCTCTCAGATATCAGTGGACACTGGTAACATCAAGGGAATGTATGACACTATCAAGCAGGCTTTATGTTCAGTACAGAAGAAATCTGCTTCTTCGAAGACTGCTACGGGCGTGATCATCCAGGACTGAGTACAGCAGATAGACTGCTGGGTGCAGCACTACTCTGAGCTATATTCCAGAGGGAACATAGTAACCAAAGAGGCATTAAATAACATTGAATACCTGCCTGTCTTGGAAGAGTTGGACAGTGAACCAACTTTAGCAGAAATAAAAGTGCACCTATCATCAGGTCCTTTCATGAGGAAATGAAGGGCACTGTAGTTTTTGATGCTGAACATCAGATCCCTTTGACATTCGAAGTGGAGTGAAACAGGGCTGTGTCCTTGCACTGACTCTGTTTGGGATCTTTTTTTTACTGTCATGATGAAGCATGCTTTTGGAACCACAACAAAAAGTGTCTATCTCTGGACTACATCAGATGGAAAGCTCTTTAATCTCTCTAGATTGAGAGCGAAGACCAAAGTCCAGTTGAAATGCATGCAGGACTTCCTCTTCACCGATGATGCAGCTGTTGTTGCCCATTCTGCTGAAGACCTCCAACAAGTTATGAATCGTTTTAGTCAGGGCTGCCAAGATTTTGGATTAACAATCAGCTTGAAGAAAACACAAGCCATGGGCAAGGGCATGGACTCACCTCCCTCTGTTACCATCTCTACAGAAGAATTGGAGATTGTTCATGACTTGGTGTCCCTTGGCTCAATGATCTCTGACACTTTCTCCCTAGATGTCGAGCTGGATAAATGCATTGGCAAAGCATCTACCATGTTCTCTAGACTCACAAAGAGAGTATGGCTTAATAAGAAGTTGGCAGCATATACCAAGATCCAGGTCTATAGAGCCTATGTCCTGAGTGCACTCCTGTACTGCAGTGAGACTTGGACCCTTTGTGCACAGCAGGAGAGGAAGCTGAACACCTTCCATATGCGTTGTCTCTGATGCATTTTTGGTATCACCTGGCAGGACAAAGTTCCAAATAATGTAGTCCTGGAATTTTTAGCATGTGTACATTACTGAAACAGCGATGTCTACGTTGCCTTGAGCATGTCGTGAGAATGGCTGACAGTCAGATTCCAAAAGATCTCCTGTATGGAGAATTAGTGCAGGGAAAGTGACCCAGAGTGGGAGCACAGCTGCTATACAAGGACATCTGCAAGTGGGATCTGAAAGCCTTAGGAATGGACCTCAACAGATGGGAAACCTTGACATCTGAGCGTTGAGCCTGGAGGCAGGCAGTGCATCATGACCTCTCCCACTTTGAAAAGATACTTGTACAGCAGACTGAGGCAAGAGGCAGTTCCAAAACCTGTAAAATCAGGGAGCTGGACAGGAGACAGATTGTATTTGTCTTCAGTGTGGAAGCGATTGTCACTCTTGAATCGGCCTTCTCAGCCACACTAGATGCTGTTCCAAGACCTCTATTCAGAGCACTTTACCATAATCTCTTGAGACTGAAGGATGCCTACATCTGCCTGATTAAAGAACCTGATCATAATTTACTCTGCACATGCACAGAGCCCTTGATTTGTATCTCAATTAAGAATATATCAGATGAGTATTTGTCCTATGTATGTGAACTAGATTTCCTGAGTAAAATTTTGCTCCCTCCTGTGGTGAGAATTACTGTATATTGTCTTTGTGTGACTAATGCTTCTGCAGTTCTTTAACCAGTAACCTTAAATAGCCTCTTAATGTGCAATAAAACATACACTCCTGTGTGTGACAGAGATATTAGGGAACAGAAATAGTTCACCAGTACTCTGAAATCTACCTCTTTCCCATTCTCAGATAGGAATAAGAACAACAATGTGCTGATGGCCAAGATCTGTAAATATAATATAATTCTAAGTATAAATATGTTTACTGAAAGGTAGATTCACTTGTGTCCCAAATAATCATTCTTGCTAAGTTTGGAAGTAGCACCTTCCAAGCAAAATTGTTACTCACAATTTAATTATCGCATTAAGGAGTTTACATTTGCAAGTTTGCATCATGACTGGGACTATCATTAAAAAAAATTCATTATCTTGAAAGGGAATATTTAAAGCTGAATTTTTTTCCTTTGCTGGTTGCTTTTTAGTTCCTTATTCTGAAGAAAAGAAATATTAAAATGTTAGAAAATGGCCTGACATTTGAGGGTGGGAGGAAGGCAGCAGCATCAAAGTGTTCCCAAAAAGTATTGTTAGACTCAAAAAGTAATTTTAAAAAGTAACTAAACATTACCTCCCCCCCCCACACACACACTCCTCCAACCAGTACCAGCCATTACCTGGGGGATGGGAAGGAACATCATTATGCCCTCTTTCCCCCTACAAAATGTAATGAGTTACAGTTAATGTTATTTGTGATGTATTACTACTGAGATGTGCAAATGTCTTTCAAGAAATCACATCCTATGCTACATGTTCTTGAGAGTTTCATTCTTCCATAGCAGTCCCACACCTCGTGTCTCTTTTACCAGGCAAAGGTAGTTGCAGTGAGCACCACGTCCAGTTGTGTTGCCTAGGCAACAAGACAAAGCTAGCTGCCGCTTGCTTTCACTTCCTTGCTTGTCATGCTAGAGGAACTGTAATTCTGTCCAGCAAAAACTTCAAATTACCAGGGATTTGCTTACAGAAATAATGGTCTGACTGATTCTCTGAAACATTTCTATTTCGAATTTGGGTTCATTTCTTTATTTCTTCATAGTAGAATCAAAGTTGCTAGGGTCTCTTCATGAAGCTCTTATTTTTTTGCAGATTTCATACTTAAGTTGCTGTGAGGTTCTTTCAGCCAAGTGGTGTATATGTGCAAAAGACAAGTGCAGCTCTGAATGCACTTCAGATAGCTTGTGCTTTTTGTTTTCAAAATCTGGAATCCAGTTTCAGAGCCTTATTTGAAGCACTCTGGGCAGTTTTGACATTCCCCCCACCACCATCCTTTTCCTAAATTTTCACAAGTGATCACCACAGAAATATAGGTTTTTTTTATTTCTTTAATTCACCATCTCTCCGGGGAGGTGGAGGGAAGGAAAGGATACACTCTGAAGTCAAGAAAAGAGTTTTGAAAGCAACGTGCTGTGTTGCCAATTGCCACATTACCTTTAAATAATCAGCATCTTCCTCTCTGATCTCTTAAGCATTAGCAAGCCTTGACTTCAATGCACAACTTTGCTGAAAGGCCCACTTTACTCAAGAAGACGTAAATTTGTATCAGCATGCACAGAGCTGGTATATATGCCTATAACAGTATTCATGCTTATTTGTCAATAAGCCCCACAATTAACAATCACAAACTTGTTTTTGAATCAACATCACTTATAAAGTGATACTCATCTAGGCTTAATTAACTGGCTAGATGCAACTTTTATATGCAGGGATGTATATCCCTATCCATCACCACCAGTTGGGCAGCGTTGGGGCCAAAGAGTTTGTCCTGTGTTACAGGATATAGCACCCCCCCAAAAAAAATCAGGCTTGAACAGATCTTATGCTACAGTCTGTCCTGTTCTGCTTTCAGCCAAAGCCAAAAAAGCCTTTGAATATTCTTTGTTTCCCTGACTGGTCTGTTTTTTCATTCACTCCTATATTCCTTACAGATATTCATGCACTGCAGCTATTGACCAGCGATGCTGAACCTATGGTATGCATGCCACAGCTGGCACACAGAGCCCTTTCTGCGGGCACGTGAGCTGTAAGTAGCCAGATCGGTACCCCCCCCCCCCCGCAGCCAAACCTCAGGAGGTGGCTGCAGCTGCAGTGCTGGTGCTTCAACAGGTGGTGGGCCAGGATCCGGAGCAGCTAGCGCTGGTGGTGGATCCAGAGGCATCTACGTGCCCAGGATTCCCCCTTCCGCCGCCACTTCTGGTTCCTCCACCGCTACTTCCAGCAGTGCCACTGCCTGCTAACTGGGTTTTTTGTTTTTTGTTTTCAGTTTCGTCACTCGAGCCCAAAAAGGTTCGCCACCTCTGCTATAGACCATAAAAACTCACCATAGCAGGTACTTTCCTCCAGGAAACATTGTCTCCAGGTACTCGATTAGTAGCAGAAGTGTGGAAGATACATTGTAGGGTGGCATTTTTGTCTCTTGCTGCTTCCACTTTCACCTGAGGTGTTTGCACTGTGACGGCATGAACAACTGCCACAACTAGAGAGGGGGAGAGAGAGAGCAGAAAATCCATCTTGGTTTCTTCCACCTTGACTGGAAAACCAAAATACTGAAGTAAATGAGACTGGACACTGCTAAGGTAACCAAGTAAATCTGTGCTGTATCTGAAATAGCAGACAATCTCATTTGCTTGCCCATGCAAGCTCAAAGCCTCTGGGATGTGAAAGGTTCAGAAGCACTGTTCTAGAGAAAGCAGGCAAGATCGTCTCAATTTCCTTAGTTGGGCAGCATTATGATCTTCTCCATAACAGATGGTTAGCTTAAGGAGTCAGAGAGGGAGAGAATCTTCCCTGCACCTACCCAACCTACCCAATGTTTTTCATGCCAAAATAAATTCCAGATGAGCAATTTCCTTCAATCTCTTAGTAATTCACCAGGCTGAATACAAATGCCAAGAAGCCATATTTCCCTCCATCCAACCTTTGGTCCTTGTACCCCAATATCATCTCCTCTGATGGATGACAGCTTGCAAGGTGCTCAGGCAGATATCTCAACTAAACATTGTAACTAGATACACCATGGGTTAAATCTGGAAATGCTGTACACACATCATTTCTTTTTCAATGAAGTTGTCATGGCCCTTCCTCATGAATCAATTTGTGTGTGTGTGTGTGTGTGTGTGTGAGAGAGAGAGAGAGAGAGAGAGAGAGAGAGAGAGAGAGAGAGAGAGAGAGAGAGAGAGAGAGAGAGAGAGAGAGAGAGAGAGAGAGAGAGAGAGAGAGAGAGAGAGAGAGAGAGAGAAGGCAGTGCCAAAAATATCACAGCCTCCATCCAATGTGCAGGCCTTTTTGTACTTTTGATAATATTGCCAGTGTTTTTCTCATGAGGGTTCACAGGATCACAAGGAAAATAACTATGCCAGCACCAATGGGTCTTTGATTATTTTCTTAGGAAGGCAGCAGACAGACAGAGGGACCCAGAAAACAGGCTTGATTTTGATTTTTAAAGGGTCACAACCACAGTGTTCCTAATTCTAGGTCAGCAGCTATCTTTCAGTGTAAAGTCACGCGCATAGGCAGCTCATGACCACAGCAGGGAGCATTGCCAACCAAAAGATTGGGAAAGTTCACAAGTGGCCCTTCATTTCATGAATTTATAAAATAAAACCAAAGCTTTGAAGAGTTACTGCTTGCACTACCAGAATCCCACAGTGGCCATATTGGTAAGGATATTCTGAGGGCTGGACTTGAAACAGGATTTCTCCCCCCCCCCCCGAGCTTTGAATAAAACACAACACAAGAAAAGGTCAGGGTAGAGTGTGGTTTCAACTGTGATTAGCATTCATCTGTTCTCAGATCTCTCATTTTTCTGCTTTTATGAGTCTATTGACTCATAGCAATAAGGTGTGTCTGCTGGCCTCAAGAAGGAAGTAACAACGAGAGGACAAGGTCCTGCTTAGTAACATCTTTATTGGCACACCACACCCAACCAGCATTGAGTCATTCCTCACTATCCAGTTTACACACATAAAATATTTTGATTGTAACAATTCAGTGGTAACACCAATTAACTACAGGGGGGCACGCTGCCCCTCACCAGATATCTTCAGGTAGAGGCTAGAGTGCAATCTGTTGGGCACTTCAAACTCTACAATGCTAACCTGACATATTTTCCTTGATCCCTCAAGTATCTGTCAAACTTCCTGGATATTCCCAGTACTGTATCTGGACAAAATGCTAGCTTGCTGCCTGTGGGAAGCGCTTGGCTTCCCTATCAGTTCTTCATCAGAAGAAAGACAGTAAGCAAGGGTGCCCACAAGGTGTTTGTTTTGTCACAGTATTCATTTTTTTTTACTATGGCTCACTTATGCTGGTGAAACTGGTTTCCTACACTTGAAACCAGCCTTGAGAGAGAGAAAAAAAATGAGAAAGAAACTATACCCTGCTGGGATGTCAGAACGTTTGCAGTATTTTCTCAGGCAAGTCTCCTCAAGTGAATGATCATGGCTCAGTGGCAGAGCAAATGCCTGCCTTTTCCAAGTATCTGATTTGGTTATAATAGACAGGTGATGAAAAAGATCTGCGCTTGGGCCCATGACTATCAGAGTAGACAAAACTGGGCTAGGCAGGCAAACACTGACTTTGTATGATGATTCCCTTGAAATCTAGGGGGTTTTGTGTCTTCTTCTCACCTTACAGCTTCTGTTTGATGCAGAGTTGCCTATTTTCAAAAATAATTGTTGAGAAATAATTTTAGGACTTCAACAAGCATGTGGCAGGGTAGTGGAATATAGTGAGGTTCAGTTCCCTCCATTTGGTGTGTTTTCCATATCTGAAATAATTGCTTGCAGTCAAACTGAATAGCCATTTCCATTAAGCTCAGAACACTAGCAAACTGTGGGCTCCATATGCACCTTTCCTTCCTATATAGTAACAATCATAGTAGCATCTAATATGCCATTTATCTACCAGCAAGGATCTGCCTGTTACTGAATCTAATTAAGAAGAAACACCAAGGAAGCATAACCAACAAAAGTAGCATTCTGCATCAAAAATTGTCCAGCAGTCAAGGCAAGGAGAGTCACTCATTCAGGGTGTTAAGAACAGAATCATCTTAGAACTGGATCATTGACTCCAGCCCCTGTCAAAGAGGCAGAGTGGGGAATCAAACTCACAACCTCTGGATCTACAGTCAGAGACCTAAACCATTTAGCTATCTACCAGTTCCTTTGTGGAGTTGATAAGCTTTAATGAAGCAATATATTTAACACCTAAAATAAGGAAACTGTATGTGAGAGGAACTGTGGGTGTGGTTACATTACTAAAAGAATCCACAATGTATAAAATGGGTTTAGCATGTTTTAAATCAGTGTAAAAAGGGGTGAATACATGAGGCATGTGGAAACACAGATTAATATGACATAGGAGTTGTGGGTTGTTTTGAATGACAGCTAGCTTTTTTTTTACTCTTCCACTAGAGGGCCATTTATTTTAACTCAGATGTGGAATCAACTCATTTAAATCAATTCCCCATATGTGAACGCCTCCATTAATTTTTAAAGAGCCCTCCAGTGACTCTCCCAGCCGCTTACCTCTGGCTGGCAAGTCAGTCAGAGTAAGCAAGCACCAATATATGCAAATGCCTTTGCCATTGCTGCCTCCCCCACCAACATCTTCCCTTCCCAACTTTCACCCAAGTCTCTGTTTTTGTTTTTCATGCATCTGTTAGAGTGCAGGAACAGAATGCCACATAGGAGATTGAAAAAGCACAAATACAGTGCTTAATGTTTATCAAACGGCATCACAATGGGAGTGGTGGGAAGATAATACCATATTTAATCATGAATACACTAGATCTATATTATAAAATCCCCAAAGAAGAGTCAATGGTTTTTCAGAAGCTTGTGGAAATCCCACAAGTCTCAAAATAAATAAATTGAGAAACTAACTATACGTTATGTACAAACACTAGTGAATAAGTCCCAACATTCTTTTTTTAAATAACCAAAATTATCTTAGGGAGGCGACAGTGGAAAACAAAAGGTGCTTAACCTTTTCCTCATGTTGGTTTCTGTATTGCAAGCCCTCAAGCAGCTTTGCCTTTTATCCCAGCACTGTTCTTTAGAAGCACAATATTTATTTGTTTAATTTATATGCCTCTCGCACCAACCAAAGGTCTCTGGGCGGCTTACAACAATTTAAATGCAATAAAAAGATAAAAAGATAAAACAATTACAATACAATAAAAGATACAGATGATGTAGTATTTTTAGTACAGCTGATTGTTGGAGCAAGATAGGATGCCTCCCACCCTGAACTAGTGGGATGATGCACATTCTCTGCTCAGACCACAGGTAATGTGGCACAAAAGGACTACAGATTCTCCAGTCCCTCTCACTGAACTGGAGGTTGATCCTCCTCCTCATGCAGTTCTTCCTGGTATGGAGCTCAGTACAGTAATTGCAAAAGTGGACTATCAATCCCAGGATTCCTGGCAGGAGAAGGGTGCTTAGAGTGCCACGTCTTTTTAGAGGCATTTGGGACTTGACTTCAGTTACCAGAATTCCGGGCAGGGTAAGTGGATCCACATGACTTCCAGAGGATCTTTTCACCAGGGATCCTAGGAGTGCTAAGACTTCAGCAGAAAAATATGCTTTGGGTGTCACTGGGACTATTTGACTCCTCCAAAAAAAAACCACATCTCATTGTTTTCCTTCTTTAACAGAAAGTTGTAGTTGATGTTGTTTGCTTTGAGGAAGGAGCAGAAGAGTAGGTGGATGGAACATCTCACTGACCTGACTCCATAATGAGCACAAACACACCCACACTCATGAAAGCCAGTTCTAGAAACCTTTGTAAACTAAGGGTGTGGTTACACATTGGTTATACATTGAAATATTCCTGGGTTTGAGTCACATTTAGCATGTTAAAATCAATTTAAAAATATCTGTTTGCATGACATACAACTACCCCCTCTTTTTTTTCATCAGAAAGCAAGGTATTTTAAACAGCCATGAGAGGATTGTTTATTTTAACTCAATTGTTGATGCAATTTATTTCAAATCATTTTGGCATATACAAATAGCAGTGTGGGAGTAAATGCTGTCTGCAGGTTTGCCAAATACTGGATGCCAGGATCATGTGTTTCAAACTGCAAGATACCCTTAATAGCCTTTTTTGGTGGGATAGCTCAGTGGTTGAGGTATCTGGCTGCAGAGCCAGAGGTTGAGAGTTCAATTCCCCTCTGTGCCTCCTCGGAGAAGAGCCAGCCTGTGTGGCCTTGGGCAACCTGCACAGTCCCAGGGAATGGTAAACCATGTCTGAGTACTCTCAACCTAGAAAACCCTGGCAAGAGTCACTGTAAGTTGGAATCGACTTGATGGCAGGCATTATATATAAGTGCACCATACTTGTAAATGCAACATCAATGCACATTAGAACTGCAAAGCTGGATGGGAGCCTATAAATGTTCCCTCTAATTTTCAGCTCCACTGGGTGTGGCTCTGCCTCTCATATGTGCAACTTTGCACACCCACACAAAGTTCTGTTGTGACCAGAACCAAAGGGGCTGCAAACTACTGTATCACTATCAGTGTGCGGAGGTTGATAGAGTTGTGCACACACAAGCACACATCTTAAGAGAGAATATTTGACCTGATGGATCATCGAGTCCAGCCTCGTCAAGGAGACACAGTTAGAAACTGAACTCCCAACCTCTGGTTCCACAGACAGAGACCTAAACTACTGAGCTATCCAATGATTTGAAGTTCTATGTATTGCCCTCTATCAATATATACAGCTTACAACTGAAATAAAAATTGGTCCAAGAAGAAGCATACCCCAGCCCAAAAACCGCATGACTTTAAACCAACTTCAAATACCCAGCCCCAGCTCCTGATTCATTTCAATGGTGTAACCATGCCCTCAGCTAAGATTTCATTTTCTGAGCTTTACTATATAGATTTCTATGGATGATAAAGTGTACATTTCCTTTCCTTTTTCTTTATTATTGAGTTCTCACAGTATTAATTTCACTTCACTGGAAACAAGCTCAACACCAAAACATTATTCGATTGTTATAAATATCCAGTGGCTGCAATTCTATTGTGCCAGTACACAAAAGGCATAACTTCAGGAAGCGATTCGGTTTGAAAAAATCCCCATATACATTAGCTGTTGTATGCAGAGTCACACAGCTCAGTAGGCAACAAATGTCTATACAATTTGCTTCCATAGCCTTCAAAGGAGCAGCACAACAGGATTTCAACCAATATGAGATACAATGGCTTAAAACTTGTTGGTGTAAATTTACACTGCACAACTCAATGATACCATCATCTGGTGGTTGAAAAATTTAATTTAATTTAATTTAATTTAAAACTTCCTACACCTCCCTTTCAGGTTCCAAGGCTTCCTGGGGTACCTTCTGCCTGGGTGAGCTTTTGTGGACTTCAGGATAGGAGGGAGAATTTAAACTGCAAAATTGCTGCCAGATTGTCAGTAGCAGTCCCCATCTGGTGGTGGGACCTATGCTGGTGATTTTCCAGTATTAAAGGCTGTCTCTCTGTCCCAAGACTCCCAAAGACTTCCTATGGGCAAAAAGGATTTCCTAGGGAGCTTTGGGACCTTTGAGGGGAAGAGAATAGATCATTTTAAATTAAAAATGTTTTTCGACAGGTGATCACATAATCCATGCTGCACAGTGTAAATTTATGTGAATATGATTTCAGCCAGTGTTTCTGTATTGGAGAAGGAGGACAAGAGTGTGGTGACAAATCTCAGGAGACAGTGCACCCTGAGAGCAGTTTTTCAGAGTCTACAGGCTCATGGTGAACACAAGTAGAAGGAATGGAAGTATGGCAGTAGGTTGGTTCACATCTTTTTGCTTTCTTTCTAACACACACACATACGTTATTGATTTTCTCTTTTTCTGGCAGCACATTCACACACACTTTTACAAATAGAATGCAGGCTGTCTTTCCAAGCATCCTTGAGTAATCATATTTAATCTGACCAGTAAAGCCATTTCAAAGTGTTCTTATCCCATGTCAAACACTGTAAACAAACTGACACGTAACTACTTGTCACAGAACCAGGTCAGGGTAGTCTTGCCGTTTTAGATTTCATTTGCCATTAATTTAATCTAGCCCATGGCTCTTTTTAGTTCATGTGGAAACCCATTAAATATGCCAGTTAGTCTTTAAGGTGCCATTTTTGTCTCTTTTAATTTTTACTTTTCTTTTGATTTTGCCTCACATATGATACTATTGAAGACAAGATTTAAAATAAAATGTAAAAAAGCGAACTCTCATGAAATGACCTCTGCTTCTTTGTTCCTGACAATAGTTGCCTGGTGTGACATTGATATGCTTGCAAAATCAAGGAGTGCAATAGGGAAAAAGCAGCATTTTTCAAATGTCAGGAGAAATGTTTTGTGGTTTGAACACAGAGCAAATGCATATCCCACTAAGAGAAAATTTTCAGAAAATATTCTGGGTTCTTCCAGACATAGCTGCAAAATCTGGTGGAATTTTACGGAACTCCAGACCAAACCGTGGGGTGGGGGGAATATAATTTTTTGGATCACAACCGCCAGAATCCCTCAGCCAACATGGGCAATGGCCATGATGAGTGGAGATCCTGGAAAATGATATCCGAAAAGAATCTTTCCTGAGCTCTAGTCCAAACATTGTTCGGTTTGTGACCTTCCTCCTCTGCTGGGAGGAAGACATTAAGGAAAGAAGGAAAGTTGGCATGACTACAAAATGTCTTTTCCCTGGTATCCCTTTGAAAACACCTCTGGATCCTACACAATTGCATTACAAAGTCTGGCATTTGGATTACAAGATAAGCACACACACCAAAGAGACAACCCACTGACAATTACCCTTCCCATCAGCGCGCACACTAGTAATAGGGCAATCAAGCTGCTTACCTGCACTGAGCATAAACAACACAAGCTCCTTGTTTGTCTTCATGGTGCCTCCTTAGCCTTTTCTAAGCCTTTTTGAATTGGCAAGTATTAGTTTGTTTCTGGAGTTTAAGGAAGGACGATCTGGCTCCCAGCTTCAGTTTGGCCTCGTTGTCCGCTTCCGCCCTGCACATTCTTTTTTCCCCACTTCCTTTTCCTTTTCACCCTTGCTCACCTTCCCGCCCCCTCTGACAGACACTTTCACCACTAAGATTGTCTCCTTATCTTTCTCTTGCTAACTGAAGAAAACAACTGTGCTTTTTTCACTGGCCCTGCCCTCACCTAAGCAAACAAGCCACCTTCCTTGAATCCACCTGACAGGCAGAGGGAATAAGAGATCTCAAACATTTAGATGAACATGTTTGTGCAAATACAGTACTATGAAAGGAAAACACTGAAATATAACAGTTAGTCTTTAAGGTGCCACAACGTTTTCATCTTTATTTTTTTGTTTTGCTTTTGCCTATGAAAGGAACATTGCAGTAAGATGAGTGGTATGGTTCTAGGCAGTGAATTAAAAAGAAAGAGCAATAGTTTTTAAAATACTGATTTCTGTACCCATTAATACTTGTATAGCACTTTTCTGAATACTAGTTATTACCAATTACACTCTGATCTAATTTCTATTTCTTCTACTAACCTAAATTGTTCGCTGAAGCATTCTGTGTTCTTTATTCAACATTGTTTTGTCCTGCTAAATACTTTCCATTCTCTTTACCCACTGTGTTACAATTTACTGTCTTGAGTACATTATAACTAAAGATTACAAAATTGCTTTCTGTTTCAGGCACCACTGCTTCTGCTCAAGTTCTTTAGACCAGCACCTATATAGCATCTGTAGATGTTTGGAAATAGAGGCTAACTGGTCATATTTCCTTCCTCATCTTCTGAAAGGTCACTTTATTTTATTTATTTCATCGAATATATCTCATCTAGTAATGGAGAACCCTTTTATCAGTCAAGGCCTGCACTGCTGTTGATTAACAGCTCTTTAGCGTAAGGTTTTCCCTATTTAGCATTCTGGAATAGGAAGATGTTTCCTGTATTCTGATCTCTGGAGGTCAAGTGCCCAATGCATATGAGGAGAATGGCAATTAAGGTGTATATTAAATGACAGCCACCCATATCCATTTTCCTTCTTGCTCTGAGTCCTTATGCAACATATCATATCTGGGCAATGTCAATTTTTAAAAAGAAAATAATGGATTTTTGACAAATAAATAATTAATTGAGAAAAAATAACAGCAATAGTAATACAACACAGGGATAAGTGATGCCTTTATTAGACCACTATATATATTATACAGTCTGCTAGCTTTTTGTGGATTAATGTTGATGGCCTCAGGCATGCATTAGTGTCTTTTCAATAGTGCAGAGAAATTAGAGTCCCAAAAGTTTATGGCAGTTGGTTGTGCCACACTTGTTTCTTAGAGGTAAGTTAGAAAAGATTCAGGATTCATTAGACATGTGGTTTCCAAACTACAACACAGGTAGTTGTTGATTGGCTATCACATCTCAGCTCCTCAAAGAAACTCAGGCCTTGTGCATATACCCCCCCCCCAATGTGGTCTTTTAAAAGACTGATTTCAAACCTCTGGTTTCAAACCTCCACTGCCTTGTGGCTATATCTACTGATGGGAAAGGCTTTAGGAGTTAACCTAGAAGCAAAATCTGGAGCCGGAGTCCCGGAGGCAGTTCGTGACTGTGCACAGTCATGCTCTGGCAACTCCTGCATTGTCGCTGGAACCAGTTGTATTGGCTCATGCCTTTCCATTGGACTACTTCAGTGACGTGGAGAGGGGTGATTTTCTGCTTGGATAACAGCCTATCCATATTATTTTACCCAGGCTTCGTGCTCTGGAGAGGACACTCCTGTTTCGCATACAGCATTGAAACAACATGGGAAGTAGCAGTTACCAATTATAAGTCTTTGCTCGATTGGCGTAGAGAGTGATGCCAGGGGCTACTTCCGATGGTGGGAGAGGTCATTACACCTCACTAGGCAGCTACCACCCGCCTTAAGCTGGGCAGCCCCCAGCCAATAAGGTGCTGCCTCACCACAGTCTGTTAACCTCACAGGTATGTGGGGTTTAGGATGAAAGCCAACAAGCAGATTGATAACCCTGCACCATACAACAATCATAAAACTTATTCCGCACCATACAACAATCATAAGAAAACTTATTCTCTAAAGTTGGGCACCTCAAATGTTCAGACAATGACCCCTGACTTTTCTGATGACATGCAGGAAATACACGACGTGCACATGACAGCTGTCATTGACATGGAACTGAATAGGCTGCAGATGGACATTGTTGCCTTCCAAGAGATGAGATTGCCAGATTCAGGATACATCAAAGAAAAAAAAATCTCATTCTTCTGGCAGGGAAAACCATTGAATGAGACCAGGGAATATGGTGTTGGCTTTGCAGATAGTAATACTCTGCTGAGATCCATTGTTCCACCTACTGTGGGGAGTAAAAGAATCCTTTCTCTGCAGCTCCATTCATCAGCAGGACCGTTACCCTTATTTGTCATCTACAGCAGAAGTCTACAGACAAATTCTATGACTATTTGCCCGCAGATGGCCCGAAATGCCCCCCGCAGCGTTTTCGCGACCTCCATAAGCAAGGGGAGGGCGCGAAAACATTGATAGGGGCCATTTCGGGTCATGCGGCGGCCATTTTGGGGCCACCGATCAGCTGTTCGGCGGCTCCAAAATGGCCACCGGAGGCCCCAATCGTCGCAAAGCGAGTGCGGCGATTGGGGCTGATCCGTATAGCGATCCCCAAAAAGGGATCGCTATACGGATTCTTCGTTAAACGGTGCGCTCGTTAAGCGAGGCACCACTGTATTACGATCACACAGAGTGCTGATTGCAATACTGATCACTACCTGGTGTGTAGCAGAATAAAAATGTGGACACAAAAAAGGAAGGAAGACCACGTATTGAGATTAGCAAAATCAGAGAAAAGTGGAGGGATTTGCCCAAGCGCTTGAGGAAACTCTTCCAGACCCAGCTCGTGCAAATGTACCTGAACGATGGGAATATTTCAAGAATGCTGTTTATAACACTGCCTTGTCCACATTTGGCAATAAGACCAAAAAGAAGGCAGACTGGTTTGAAGCCCATTTGGAGGAGTTGATGCCCGCCATCGAGGAAAAGAGGAGAGCTTTAGCAGCATCCAGGATCAAACCTGTGCTAGTGAGTACAACTTGAGGGTTCTTCGAGTTGCTCCTAGCAAAGTCCAACAGACTGCCATGAGATGTTCTAATGATTATTGGCTTCCGCTGTGCTCTCATATACAGATACCCTTTTCCTAAGAAAACTAGATAAAGTTTATTATTTATATTTTGTCTCAGTGTCTCAAATCTTTTTTCGAATAATAACTACCATGGCATCTCTCTTCTCAGCTTTGTAGGGAAGCTGCTTGCCCGTGTCATGCTGAAGAGGTTATAGGTGCTTGCAGACAGAGTCTATCCAGAATCACCGTGTGGCTAATAGATCCACCACTGACATGGTATTTTCCCATAGACAGTTGCAGGAGAAATGTAGGGAACTACAACAACCACTCTTTGTGGCCTTCACAGATCTTACAGAGGCGTTTGATTTGGTTTGCAGGGATGGCCTTTCTAAAATACTTCCCAAGATTGGATGTCCACCTTGACCTGTCCATCATCAGGTCCTTTCATGAGGAAATGAAGGGCACTGTAGTTTTTGATGGCTTAACATCGGATCCCTTTGACATCTGAAGCAGGGTGAAGCAGGGCTGTGTCCTCGCACTAATTCTGTTTGGGATATATTTTGCTGTCATGTTGAAACATGTTTTTGGAACTGCAACAGAAGGTGTCTATCTCCGAACTAGATCAGATGGAAAGCTCTTTAATCTTTCTAGATTGAGAGTGAAGATCTAAGTCCAGCTGATATGCATGTGGGAATTCCTCTTCACTTATGATGCAGCTGTTGTTGCCCATTCTGCTGAAGACCTCCAACAACTTATGAATAGTTTTAGTAAGGCCTGTCAAGATTTTGGATTAACAATCAGCCTGAAGAAAACACAAGTCATGGACCAGGGTGTGGACTCACCTCCCTCTGTTACCATCTCTACACAAGAATTGGAGGTTGTGCATGACTTTGTGTACCTTGGCTCAACAATCTCTGACACTCTCTCTCTAAATGCCAAGCTAAATAAACACATTGGCAAAGTAGCTACCATGTTCTCTAGACTCACAAAGAGAGTATGGCTTAATAAGAAGCTGACCACATACACCAAGATCCAGGTCTATAGAGCCTGTGTCCTGAGCACACGCCTGCACTGCAGTGACACCTGGACCCTTTGTGCGTGGCAGGAGAGGAAGCTGAACATGTTCCATATGCGTTGTCCCCAACACATTTTTGGTATCAGCTGGCATGACAAAGTTCCAAACAGAGTAGTCCTAGAATGAGCTGGAATTTTTAGCATGTATACATTACTA